CTGGATAGGGATCAGAATGGTGAGTTGTGAGATGTAGTTTATGATTCATGGGAGTAGAAACAGGCCTAGACAGTAGGAATTCTCCTTCTTCAAGTATTTCCAAAGTGTACTTTCTCTGTGAGAGATGAATTCCAGTAGAATTTCTTGCAACTTCAATGCCAAGAAAGAATTTGAGGGGACCCATGTCCTTGATACTGAATGTGTTGTGTAGTGATTGCTTGAGTTGTGCGATCTCTGTTAGATCAGTTCCACCAATCACCAAATCATCAACATAGACCAGAATGCATGTATAATGTGAACCTGTGGACTTGTAGAATAGAGAATGATCCACTTGACTGGAACTATAACCATGACTGATGAGACAATCTGCTAATTTTGAGAACCATTGTCTTGATGCTTGCTTTAAACCATATAAGGACTTCTTGAGTCTGCAGACTGGATTTTTGATGTGGGGTGGAGGATTGTAACCTTTTGGAAGCTTCATGTATACCTCCTCAGTGAGGTCTCCATGAAGAAAGGTATTGTTCACATCTAGTTGGTGAACATGCCAAGACCTTGAAGCTGCAATAGTTAGAAATAGTCTGACTGTGGTCATTTTGACCACATGAGCAAATGTATCTTGATAGTCTATCCCTTCTTGTTGGTTGTATCCCTTTGCCACAAGTCTTGCTTTCTCCCTTTCTAAAGTGCCATCAGAGAAGAATTTGTATTTGAATATCCACTTGTTGCCAAGGGTTTCCGGTTAGGTGGTAGAGAAACAACATCCCATGTTTGGTTTTGCTCAAGAGCATCAATTTCATGATTGATGGCTCTATTCCATTATGGTCTGGTGGCAGCCTCTTCATAGGATTCAGGTTCTTTGAGACAGGAGATGTTTAGAATGAACTTCAAATAAGAAGGAGATAAGCCAGAATAATCAAGTACATTAGAGAGGGGGTAGGTAATACCTGAAACATGTTGCTGGAGAGAATGACTGGTGGAAGAAACCTGCAAAAGTAGGTTGCAATGGTAATTTTGGAGTTTGGAAGGGGGTTTGGTGGTTCTGGATGGCTTCCTAATGGCAATTGGAATGTCCAGGGATGGTGGTGGAGTGGGATTGGAGGGTTGAGGAGAGGCTGCTGGAATAGGTGGGGAGGATGGGGAGGGTACTGGTAATGGTGGATTGAGAGGTGGATCTTCATGGTCAGGAGAGGAAGGTAGGGGATAGAGGTGAGGAGGTTGATTGGGTTCTGAGGGCAAAGAAGTGGGGATGACTGGTTGGGATGGGAATTCAGTCTCATAAAAATGAACATCCCTTGATGTGAAGATGTCATGAGTGTGAAGATCATATATTCTGTATCCCTTGATACCTGGTGTGTAACCCAAGAACACACCTTTTCTGGCCCTTTCCTGAAATTTGGTTCTGTGACTAGTAATGGTTGAAGCAAAGCAAAGGCATCTAAAGACCTTTAGGTCTTGGAGATCAGGAGGTTTGTTATGGAGTTTTTGGTAGGGAGTGATGTTGTCTAGGACTGGTGTAGGGACTCTGTTGATGAGAAAGATAGCATGCTTTACACAATCTCCCCATAAAGCAATAGGTAGATGTGCTTGATATTTTAGGGCCCTAGCAATGGCTAAGATATGTTGATGTTTGCGTTCAACTTTACTATTCTGTTGTGGTGTTTCAATGCAGGACATCTCATGTAAGATGCCTGTTTTGTCAAAAAACTCAGTCATTTGGAATTCTTTGCCTTGGTCACTTCTAATGGTTTTTACTGATGTAGAAAATTGGGTTTCAATCATGGTACAGAAGTGTTGTAACTTAGGTCTAGCATCAGCTTTTGACTGAAGAAGGATGATCCATGTCATCCTGGAATGGTCATCAACAATTGTGAGGAAATATTTGAAACCATCATAAGTTGGACAAGAATTGGGACCCCAGATATCAACATGTATCAACTGAAAACAATGTGTAGTTACAGTTGTGCTTGAAGGAAAAGGAAGCGGTTTTTGTTTGGCAAAATGACAAACATCACAAGGTAAGCTACTGTTGGTTTCTATATGTTGGTGAATCTGTTTCAGGTATGGTATTCGACTATGGGAAACATGGCCAAGTCTGAAATGCCAAATATCAAAAGTTGGTGAGCTAACAGCAGCTGTGATGTGTTTAGGTGTACTAGCTAAGGGTAGGTTGATGTGGTAAAGGCCATGGAGGAGCTTAGCAGAACCAGTCACTCTCTGCAGCTTCATGTCCTGTATTGAGCAAGAATCAGAAGAAAAAGTTAAGCTTAGGGGGCTGGTGGTGGTGAGTTTGCTCACTGAGAGGAGATTGAAGGTGAATTTTGGGACAAATAGAACATCATCAAGAATTAAATCATCAAGGCATAGAACTTGGCCCCTGTGAGTTGCTTGAACTCTATCACCAGTAGGAAAGTTAATGAAAATGTGATGTACTTGTTCAGGATTAGTGAGAAAGTGAAGAGAATTCACAATGTGGTCTGTGGCACCAGTGTCTAGGATCCAAGGAATGATGGTATGATTCTGAATGATATTGCATATAGGATTACCTGAAGAGTCAGCAGTATAGTGAGTAGTGAGAGCTGCAGAGTGAGAAGACTTGCCCTTGTTGTGGTCTGCCATGAGAGACATGAGCTTCTCATAGTCTGATTTGGTGAGTTTGAACTCAGGTTGTGGATCAGAAGAGGAGCTGCTATCAGCAGCATTGATGGACTGCTTGCCACGAGGAGGAGCTTGAGATCTTGGTTTTGAAGGAGGTGGGTAACCATGCTTCTTGAAGCATTTCTCTTCAGTGTGCCCAATCCTTTTGCAAAATGTGCATTCTGGGGGTTTTGAAGATGGATTGGAAGTTGGTGTAGTGCCTCTGGAAGTCAGACCTGGTGGCCATCCATGCTTGTGATAGCATGTATCTTCATTGTGGCCAGGAGCATTGCAAAAAGTGCAGTGGGGACGCTTTCCAGGAATATATGGTCTTCTAGATCCTTGAACAGCAAAGGCTGTTGGTTCAGTGGTAAGGGTTTTGCCCTGTTGAGTACCAAACAACTGTCTCTCATGTTGTAATGCTCGCTGGAAAAACCTGTCTATGGGAGGCAATGTATCGCCAAACAGAACTTGGGACCTCACAGTGGCGAAGTTGTCATTCAGGCCACGAAGAAAATGAACAACATTGTTGATAGATTTGTAACCAAGGAAATTATTCATAGAGACACAGGTGGTGTGACTCGTAGCTGTGCAGCGACAGGGATCTATAGGCTGGTAATTGTCTAATTCATCTTGTAATGCTATGAGATTGCCATAGTATTCAGTCACAGTTTGGTTACCTTGTTTGATGGTACCAATGGACTCTATGAGCTCTGCAATGCGAATCATATCTCCTTGGCCATAGCGAGATCTCATACTGTGCCAGGCTTCAGAAGTGAGCTTGCTGGACATAATGGTTTTCTTGATTCCAGGTTCGACAGCTTGTTGGATCCAGCTGAGAACCATGATGTTGTTGCGTGTCCAAGAGGAAAACTGTACATCTGTTTCTTCAGGGGCAGGGATTGTGCCATTGATGAAGCCAAGCTTATTCTTGGCGGCCAATGCGTTGAGCATAGGCTTGCTCCAGTCGTTGTAGTTGGTGGTGGTCAGCTTCTCACCTACCAGCAGCAACCCTGGTTGATCAGAACCATGGAGGTAGTAAGGATCCGCCATGGGATAGATGTTCGGGTGAGCTTCCTGAGCAGCCATGTTAGAGGCGGCGGCTAGGGTTGCTCTGATACCATAACACGAAGTGTAGTTGTGGAAACCCTAACTTAGTTTTCATTGATCATCATTGTGGGTTTTATACAAGGATCGGGCAAAAGAAGACAAGCTTCAGTGAGCTGTTGTCTTTACAGAAAAGCAGAACTTAGAAACAGAGTGCAGAGGGAACAAGAGACAGAAGAAGGAAAGTGACGTTGGTTCACAACGACGACGTATCGATGATGCTCTTCCCTTTGTCTCGAGACGGCGCCGTTCCACTCGGTTTACTTGTAGCTTTCTCAGAAACGATGTCGCTCCAAGTGGCCTGTGTACTAACCGTTGCATTTGAATTGAAAATTTGGGGATTTTCATCTGATAACATGTTATGACAAGCATGTACTAATTTCGAAACTATGAATAGACTTTCGTTTCATGGGTGACGTAAAAAATTGGTTAAGTATTCATACACCTCTTTCAACAACTCAAGTTGTTGTGGAGTAAATTGGTTTGAGGACCAAACTATCAAGAACCAGTTGGTCCCAATAACTCGACTTGTTGGAATAATGTTATACGTGATCTTATACCACACTCTTACACGCCCCTCAAACGAAAGTCAACTCATGAGCTTGAAGTTTGCACAGGCCCACCATACATTGTACTTTGATCAACTATTAATATTGGGGGTCGTGGAGATTCGAACACACGACCACTTTGCCAAACCAGCTCTGATACCATGTAATAAACCAGTTCAGGATCTTACATCACTCTCTAACAAGCCTTCTCAAACAAAAGCAAACCACGGGCTTGAAGTTTGCACAGACGATCACCATACCTTGTGTTTTAATTGCTGTTAATATTGGGGGTCGTGGAGATTCGGACACGCGACCACTTGGCCAAACGAGCTCTGATACCAAGTCATAAACCAGTCGATCCTAATCACTCGAGTTGTTGGAAGATGCTCATGTATGGTACTTAACCACTTCTTTACACCCTCACTCTAACGAAAGCTGACTTATAGTCTTCAAGTTTGCACTAGCCCTTCATACCATGTGCTTGAAGATAACGGTTAATATTGGGGGTCATGAGAACTTGAACACTTGATCTATTGATCTCAAGGACAAACCAGCTCGGATACCATGTTCAGAACAAGTTGATCTCAATAACTCGAATTGTTGAGAGAATGTTATACGGGATCTTATACTACACTTTTACACAAACTTCCAACTTTTTCACTCCAAGAAAAAAAAATGTTGATGACTTTTATCTGTACTCCCCAGGGAATGATAGATCAGGAGAAGTTGGACAGGTTCAATATCCCACAATACATGCCGTCGCCGGCGGAAGTGGAAGCGGAAGTACATACACAGGGATCCTTCGCAATCGATCGCCTAGAGGTTTCCAAAGTAAGTTGGGATGTCTCCAACGGTGAGCTGAGCGGCTCCGATGAAGGCCACATGAAAAATGCCGCCGGTTACAACATTGCGAACAACATTAGAGTGGTGGCAGAGCCGCTGCTGGTCAGCCACTTTGGCGCCGGCGGGGAAGAAGTCATCGACGAGGTTTTCAGGAGGTACGCGGCCATAGTGTCGGAGCGAATGGCCAATGAGAAGACGGAATTCGTCAACGTCATTGCCTCGCTCACTAAGAAGGCTGTGAGCCCACAAGCCCATGTTTAAATGTTTTGTCGGCCCAATATGATTTACTGGCCCATACTAAAGGCTCCTAATATATATGTGGGTGAATTATATTTTTGGTCACTCAGTTTGTCAATTTCTTTCATGTTTGCACTCGATTTTTTTTCTTTTTTATTAGTTAAAAATTGTAACCTTTCGTATCATCATTGGTCAATGACCATCTGATTTCGTTAAATCCATCCTAAGTGTCAGTCAACTACAAAATTTGACCGTTAACTAGCTGACATGCCAACTAAAAATGCAATTCACCCATATACTTGTATTTAAAGGCTCGTTTCGTGTAAGATAGGACCACGTGCTAATAAAGAAAGCCCAAAATTAAATTAAACCGAGCCAGTGAGAGAATGGAAAATGTACTTAATGGACCGAGTTTGAACCGAACCGATCCGTTTGGTTTGATTTATTAGATTATGTTTTGAAAAAAGTTGTCTGTTCACTTGGTGCTGATGGTGGAATGTAACAAGGATGGGTTGTATAGTTATTGTCTTATCATATTATCGACTTGTAAGATCTATAGCGTACTTTATTTGTATTTTAACTTTTGCTAAATCATAATTTAGCTCCAATATAGTTATCATTTAAAAGAACGTCCATCTCAAACAATTTGTTATTTTAATTTTACCATCCTCTCTCATTTTAATTAGAAAATATTGTTTCTTGAAACTATCAATTTGTGTTAATTTTTATACACATTCGAATGAGTAATGAGCTTACCTATCTCGACTCATCTAGTGTGCTGAAATAATATCCAATACTCAATCTTATCGTAAATGGAAAAAAAACGAGTATGAACAATAAGATGTTGACCCAATACATCATATACATGGCATTGACATCCCTAGTCCCAACAAGCTGCAGTCAACTTGTCTCCACTGACTACTTATGGAGTTATGGTGAACACAAATCCATGTATAACTGAGAGGAAAGAAAAAGGGTTTCCACTAAATGTTCACAAACAGCTGGATTCCCATCCATATTTTGGTCAAAAGAGAAGCAACTTTTGTTCTGCTGCATGGACTGATGATTAAAGTTTGGACCTTGGAGCAAGTTTATGGCAAAGATATGGTGGACATTCCCAAGTGCTAAATCACATGAATGAACAGATTTTGGTAGGCCTACTACCACTTTAAGTCCACCAAACCATGATTTCAGAATTTCGGGTTCATCCAATCCAATGTTTCTCAGTCACAAATCCTAGCTAGGTGTAGTCCATTTCATGAAATTCTTTTAGTTGTCTAGTTGACATGCTTTTGTCACCACACTGGATGTTCCTTTCATCAAGCTTTCCAGCTCTATCCAATCCCAAAAGAGAGAATTATATATATATATATAATCTCCAAAATGGATAAGAAGTTGTTGAAGCTGTTACAAGCTTAGGAAGTGGGTCTATGGTTTCTGAAGAATTGCTAGGTTGAATGGTAACACATCAACCTAATCATACACAAGTGGGCTTTGGTTTTATATGCATAGTTCTAACTTCTGAGCATGCACCAGTAGTTTGATATGCTTTTAAGCACAGCTTACTTTTCCTAGACATTAGAACATGCTGCATCACTAACAACATGCCTCCAAAACTAAACAATATGATGGAGATTCTCTTAAGCCCACTTCAAAGCATGCATGATGGTTTAAACAATAAGAAGCCTCTTTTAGCCACTTATGGCTCTATCTGCTCATACAATGAATCTCAAGCAAGCAGAGACCATGTACGGATATCAAATGGGAAAAACCATTGTTCAAGTATACATATGGCACTTGAACTTTTTTTTTTTTTTTCGGGTGATGCTGTTTTTGACCCACCACACAAAAGAAAGTGTGTGGATTTGGTGCATAGTTCAGAGTGGGGTTTGAACAAAAGAAGGGTTAAGTGGGAACATCAAAACTGAACCAACCCAAATGCCATTTCATGATGATATAATGCAGTACCAAACCCTAGTTGTAATGGATAAGCTGTGGTAGTCTGCAGAACCTTTCCCTATCTGGGCTCTGCCCCTGAATTCAGGCTAAAAAATGTAGAGCAAGCATATCATGTGGAAGCTTCAAAACTTACCAGCCCATTTGGGAAAATGACCTGTAATTCCATGAACTTGGTCCTTTGTAGCCAAGAAAATGACCCTGCAATTCCATGGACTTAATCCTTTGTAGCCAAGAAAATGACCTGCAATTCCATGGACTTGGTCCTTTGTAGCCAAGAAAATGACCTGCAATTCCATGGACTTAATCCTTTGTAGCCAAGAAAATGACCTGCAATTCCCAGGTGATTCTTACTCAAAACAAACATTGTATTGCAGATAGAAAACACTAGTTCTTAGCTTCTTCTCCTTCTGATACAATGATGATGAGCCAATTGTTAAACCTCCAAAAACTAATAATTAGTGAAAGCTTGGAAGAGGTGAAGAGGGTACGTAGAATAGGAAAGTCAACTGTGTATGGGAACCTGAACATGATCTATCCTATACGTGCATTCAACCCATGAAACTGATAAGGATCAAGACACACACGCATATAGGACCATGTTTTCTTAATAAATCCTTAGGTTTTGGTCAGAAGACAGCAATTAATAATGTGGTCGAGCACCTTCCATGCACAAAGTCAGCACCTTCAACTTAATTAATTAATTTCATAATCACCAACTTAATTTAAAACCTTCTTGAGAAACCATTACCTCTTTTCTTACATTTCTGAAGCATTCATTTCCTGGCACAAGAGTAACTGGTCTGAGATACGAGTGGTTCAGGTTTTTTCAGGCCGTTTTTAACAGCTTCTGGACAAAAAATTGGTGGGGACTTAGTCGCTTAGGAGCAGTACTTCAAAAGCAGCCCACAAAAGGATAGTTTGCTCCAGTTGGCTCGAGAAGGGAAGAATCCTTTTGCTTCCCCAATAATACCAAGTCTCTGTTCAATGATTCAGTCAATAAGGCAAGCAAACGAAATACCTAATGGTGTGTGCCCAAGCAAATTGTCCAAAAACAACAGGCAACCACAAACAAACCGTTTGATTTCTAATGCATAATTGTTCATATTCTTTCTTCTTCTTTTGATATAACAGGCAAAAAAAAGGCCACCATGGTCTACACCCAATAGTTTATCCAAACATTTGGATAATCGATAATATAGATATCGCATTGTATGATAATGGTGTGTCAAATGGTCGAACAGAAACTTGTTCTCTCAATAGGGATAAGTTTGGTTTTCCAATCAAAATCTAACATATAGTGAATCGTTGTAATAGAAGTGGACCATTATGCATTATCACCATTGCTATTTGCTATCTGTACTGAGGGATTCTCGGCTTTATTGACTCAATCGCTTCAGCGAAATGACTTAAAAGGAATTCGATTTAATCATCATTGCCCAGTTCTCTCGCACTTATTTTTCGCTGATGATGCGTTCCTTTTTCTTCGAGTTTCTGACCGGGATTGTCATTTCTTACTGGATGTCTTGCGGCGTTATGAGAATATGAGTGGTCAGCGTGTAAATCTATCAAAGTCTGCGGTGGTCTTCTCTAAGAACACTCTTCCTGCGGAGGCTTCTCATTATGGCGCTTTGTTGAGGGTTGGTGCGATTGGGGCTAAGGATAAATACCTCGGACTCCCATCCTTAATTCATCGGTCTAAAAGAAGTACTTTTCGTTTCATTGAGGATGCTGTGTCCAAAAAGTTATAAGGATGGAAACGACGCTGCTTGTCTCCCGCTGGTCTTGAGACATTGATCAAGTCTGTGATCTCTGCTTTGCCGGTATATGCTATGTCCTGCTTTTGGCTACCGAAAGGGTTATGTAGGTCTCTCAATCGCATGATTGCGCAGTTTTGGTGGGGTCAACAGGGTACTGAACGCCGTCTATCTTGGGTCTCGTGGCGAAATCTGTGTATGCCTAAGTCTGAAGGGGGACTGGGCTTCCGGGATTTTGAAGCTTTTAATCAGCCTCTGCTTGCAAAACAGTGTTGGCGTATTCTGACGGAGCCGGATTCTTTGGTTGCTAGGGTGCTTAAAGGTCGTCATTTCCACCAGACTTCTTTTCTCAGTGCTCAACCTGGTTCTAATTCTTCTTGGGCGTGGCAATCCTTGCTACATGGTCGAGACTTGCTTGTTAAAGGCTTGCGGTGGGAAGTTAGTTCTGGCACCTCCATTGATGCGATGACAGATCCTTGGGTCCCCTCTTTGGCGGCTTTCAAACCATGTTTGTTATCATCATCAATTGATTCCTCTCGTTTTGTCTCTTACTTTATTTCTCATCTTTCAGGGACTTGGAATATTCACCGTTTGCGTCAATTTTTTACTAATGAATCAGTTTCTGCGATTCTAAATATTCCGATTTCTCTGACCTCGGGTCTTGACCGTTACGTTTGGCATTATCAATCCGATGGCCTGTTCTCCGTCAAATCTGCTTACCGCCTGGCTATGGCTGCGCGACCGCCTCCAAAAGCGGCAACAGTTTCTTCGGCCTCACCAGTCGATCAAAAATTATGGCCGAAGTTATGGGGACTTCCCCTTTCCCCTAAGCTCAAATTTTTTCTCTGGCGTATTATTTTGCGCATTCTGCCTGTCAGGGAAGACCTGAATCGCCATGGAGTACAAGTTGAAGAATTATGCCCAATTTGTGAGTCCACAGAAGGTGAATCAGTCGAGCATTTATTTCTTCGCTGTCCGGTGGCAGTTGCTTTGCGAAATTTGGTAGGGCTCGATTTGCCTCCTGGTCTCCTTCTCACCACTAATCTTTCATTGTTTTGGCGACATCTCATATTCAATGCGGATATCACCTCTATTAGTTCTTGGGTACTATTATTTTGGCGACTATGGAAAAGTCGTAACAATGTTGTCTTCCTCCCCCACGCCCAGTTTTCCATCGGCTGCCTTCATCGTCAATTCCTGTCACACCAGGCTGATCATCAAATTGCCATCCAGTCTCCAATTCTCGCCCAGGCACCACCACCTCGCCGACTACGTGCTCCACAATTGAGTTCCGGATTTCGGATTGCTGTGGACGGTGCGACATCATCTCCCACTCATGGTGCGGTTGGTATTGTTGGCTTTCATGGCGGTCAGGCTACGTTTGGATTTGGGTGTGCTCTACCAGGGATAATTTTTTTTTTTTTTTTTTTTGGTAGAATACCAGGGATAATTGATGCTTCAACTGCGGAATTATTGGCGATCCGGTATGCTTTACTACTCCTTTCCCGTTGGGGATGGTATGATCAACCTGTTCAGATTACTGGGGATGCACAAGCGGTGTTGGAGCGGTTACAGAATAATAATCCTCGTGATGTTCGGTGCGGCGCAATATATCGTGAAGTGTTATCTCTTCTCCACAGTCTACCTTTGGTTACTTTGGCCTTGACACCTCGAGAAGTGAACCGGGCTGCCCATATTGTGGCACGTAATGCCCTTCGCTATCCTGGTATTTGTAATGTATTATTTGATTATTCTTATATGGTCTGTCTTGAGTCCGTGTAGGGGTTGTAATTGCTGTGACCCCACACGCTTATCTGGTTAATCCGGGAGGATTTCTATGACAAAAAAAAAAAAAAAAAAAAAAAAAAAAAAAAAAGTGGACCAAATGTGTATGTGATCAGCCTATTGGATTAACTGAAACGTAACAATAAAGTCTGTCCAAAAAATTTACCCTCTTGAAAACATAACAATATTGTAATCAGCTCGACTCGACTCGACTCTTTGTCAAGATTCCACACCACTAAGATTGATCTCGAAGACGTTAATAAATTAGCCATCCTGTCCTCTAATAATACTCGCCTACAGAGATCGAATTTGGAAAGTAGTAGATTGAACCATTGACACTAACCCTGGCTCATCCTCCAGAAGTAGCCTCTCTCCCTCTCCCTGTTCATGTTTTCTGCTTTCATGTGTGTAGTAAACAACATTTAAACTCCCTTCGTTTAGTATTTGGCTTCTTACGAAATAAAAAGCAGAGTAGGCCATAGCATGTAGCTAGACACAACAACAAACCCATGTGAATCTTCACCAATCCCTTCACCTGGTATGTCTCTTGTTATTCCTCTCCTAGCTTCCATAATTAGCTCTTGTCACCCATTGATTTCTTCAAAACACCCACTAGATCAGCTTCAAATCCTTGCTATATATATATTCATGGCTACCTGCACAAGTTATAAGTCCCACTCCACAAACTTTCCTTAACCAAAAACCACAAGAACCAAAGCCCTGCCCTACTACCCAATACTCTGTTTTACTCTGTTTTTTTTTCTTCTTCCAAACATGGGGATTCAACTACAAGGAATCGCTCACCACGCCAGGCAGAAGCTGCAACGAACGTTATCGGCCCGGCTAGCGAGTGTCGTGGCGACGTGCAACAATGTGCCGAAAGGGCACGTTGCGGTTTACGTTGGAGAAGAAGGGTACAGGAAGAGGTTCATCATCCCTGTGACGTATCTGAACCATCCCCTGTTCCAAATCTTGCTGAATCGAGCCGAGGAGGAGTTCGGGTTCGACCACCCAATGGGTGGTCTGACCATTCCTTGCAGTGAAGAGTACTTCATTAGTCTAACTTCGGCGCTGAACTGCTGAATTGGTTCATTTGCCTTTGCGGCAATTCGTTTCCTGGGAAGAAAAGAATGATCAGGAAAGTAGTGTATTTTTCGTTTTTTTAAGTGTTTGATGAGCTTCTAAGAGGTGAACATTCTTCAAGCAGGCTTGCTGTTTCTACAGTTTTTGTGGGCACAAATTGAAGTGCTCAATGTAATGTGTGTAAATTAATGAATACACATTTTCAATCTTGTAAGCACAAAAGATTAGAATAAGGACCAACTTGTTTGCCGGTAATACGAGGATCATAGTATTCGTCAATATTGAAGTTTACGTTTTAGGACGAGTAATCACCTTATAAATAAATGAGGAGTATCATTGGTTGCCTTCGGAAAGAAGAAGAAAATTGGGGAAAAAAAGACGAAATACTTATATGTGGCTCAAGGTTTGATAGTTGCGACCAAAATGAGTCCTACTTGTTTTAAAACTATTATTATGATCCAATAATTGGACCATGGAGATAGAAACTATTTGCATTTCGCTTTTTATCCGAAACTTAATTCAAACTGATTTGGTCATTCAAGTTACATTTCTTTTTCAAAGTGGTCTATTTATGATTGAATTCTCATTGTGGTTATCGCTACGTCATCTGTTTCTAACATATACAATTGAGTTGGATTAAAATCGCACGGAACTGGAAGCCCGATCCTTTTTTCCTCCATGTCGCCTATCATATTCGCCATTCCAAACAGATTACACTAGTTTTATTTATCAAATGGTCACTAATTGCAATCCGATAACGATGCTCACAACCCATTTGGAGGAACATGCTCACATGCGCCAAAGGTCGTCTGATCGAGCGCAATGCAGTGGCATTTTTGTAATAAAATGTCATCTAGCCCATCCAGCAGCCGCGATACAACCGCACGGGATCCAACGGCCCTTGACACCTGGGGGCTGGGAGCATGTTCTTATAGTTGGGTTGTGAGGATTTTAGCAAAATTGCACAAATTGGCCAATTGGGTACATTATTTGGGGTAAAATATGAAAGATGTGAAGATATGAGGGCAACATGTACTTTGTCCTGACACCAAATGATAAATTTGGGTGTTATCTTGAGGAGAACTATGCCCTTATGCACACTGCACACACAACAAAAAGCAGCTACTAGCTGGTACTAAAAATAGTAAAACAGAGCACATGTTCACCACATGAAAAGAGATCTTGAGAAGGCCTTCCAACTTCAAGTGGAGCAATTTGTTTGGCCATCAAAACTATGCTCTCTCTCAAATGATTGATTCACTGATTGGGAAGTTGGGAACCCTAAAATATCCTTTTTCTTTGTGAGGAGGATATCCAATCCCCAAACACAACAACAATCTATCAATTCATTTATAACAGAGGATAGATAAAAGAAAGAATAGCCTTCTGTTCTGACACAAAACCAAACCGTTTTCTCTTGATTTCCCCCATCTGATGTTCTGACACAACCCAACCCTCTTCCTTCAAGTAGTTTGTTTGTTTAACCTTGACGTAAGAAAGTCCAAGTTTCACAACTTGAACGCCACTTCGCCTCCTGTGGTGGTATGCATCAGCATTCACGAGTTGGAACAGGGTTATTGTGTTGTTAGCAACCCGGTATATGAGAACGTGCTCACAACGTGCTTATACTACGCATTTATTAGGAATGGGCAATAATGTTGAGTGGTGGGAATTTCTATTTACCGTGAAAATGGTAATTATTATTGTGACTAATAGTTAGCGATGATAAAATGTAACATACAAAAAACCACTCATGTACGGATTGGGAAAATCGGTTTTCATGATATTCGAACAATTATATCTCGGGTCTTTTGATACGATATAAAGATATGGATGACCGAAACCAAATCACACCAAACCTATTACCCTTCTTTTCCAATTCAGGTAAAACCCGCTCAAATGTTATATGTCGGTTGAATATCCCCTAATATAATCAATTCGAGATTGGTAGGATATTCGAGATTATGGGTTATTTGTTATCCTTCGCATCAATGCATAATGATTAATAATAATGACATTGATAAGTGAACAAGCATTTGCATGATGTTAAGTCATTGGATGCACGCCATGGTATAATTTACATCACCTAATCATGCTTCTGATGATCGGGAGCGCTTGATTTAATGACAAATAATAGCGGAATCGCTCTATTAGATATTATCTCATCACATATCCTCATATAATTCTAAATGATACCAACAAACCATCCTACAATATCAGTCCTACACACACCCACTTCAGCATTCTATCCGAATTTATGGAACCCCGCGCAATTTGTGGGAAGGAATTGACAGGCTGCAGTTACTATCCTCGAAGAAAAGCTTGCAAGATGGACAGAGAGCAAGTGAGCAACATGTTAGCCTCTCATAACTTCCTGATTCCTGTGAGGAATATTATCAAACAAGTGGTATGCATTGCAATACCAATGTACGGCCGCCTGTTTTTTTCACAGAAATAGGGAAGCAAAACTAATGACCATCTTTTTCCACCAATGAGCAGAGCCATGTGAACCCCCAATTGATGGTTATGGACACTCATAGGTCCCCCTAACAGAACCCCACATTTGCTGACCTTGCAGCTCCACTTGCCTTCCATCTTTCTAACTGGCAAAGCATGGCACTCCACTCCCACTCTTCACTTCACTCTCCCCTGCCTCACAACCACCATTATAAATAGCCATCAAACACCTCCATAAGAATATTCAGCAGCAGATTCAAACACAACCCAGTTACCAAAACAGAACAAACTTCAATCTAAACCCACAAAGTTACCAACTTAAGCCAAGAATCAGTCATGGGTATGGGTCGATTCGCGTCAACGGTGCTCAATGTGAAGCATAAGATCAAAGGGAAGTCTCTGATCCACCATCACCACTGCAGTGACCATCATCATCAGAGTCAGAATCAGAGCCTCAGTGTGCCAAAGGGGCATGTTGCAGTTTATGTTGGGGAGGTGGAGATGATGATGAAGAGATTCGTGGTGCCGATTTCGTACTTGAGCCATCCTACATTCCAAGCCTTGCTTAGAAAAGCTGAGGAAGAGTTTGGGTTTGATCCTCCCATGGGTGGTCTCACCATCCCTTGTAGAGAGGATGCCTTCATTGATCTCATGGCTTCTCATTTGCATTGACTAGTTTAGTTCCCCACTTGTGAAAGATGATGATGGAAACCCACCACATTTTTTTCATGTGTGGCTTAGCTAGGAGTTGTAATTAGCAAGTTTTGTACTAATGAAATATCCATCCTCTTTTTGTATAAAAGTTTCAAGCTTCTCCATGTTGTTTCCTTCATGAGCTCATGACTTCGCCTAATCCTGACATTCGATAGCTAATTACATATAACTCATCTAGATTCTCACACATGCATATTGATATAGTTTGTTAAAGTTTAAGTTAAATAATCATATAATTAAGTGATTGGGTTCTAATTAGGAATGGCAATGGGCATATAAGTCAATGTTGATGGATAAAACTTTCTAAATAAGAAGGAATATCATTATATAACTGACGATCTGGATTTCATGTTATATTGTAGCTATTTAGCTATATTAGTTCATAAAAGATTCTAAATAGTACTCATATAAGTAAATATTAACAAGAATGAATTAAGATATTCGAACAAAGAATGAGACGAAGTTAGGTAGGTAAAAATAAGAATCACTCCTCATTTCACTCTATTAGGGATTGGAATATTTTGAATTATGCCAATGGGTTTAAGTTGTTGTCCCTAATACCAATATGAGCACTATATTAAGTGATTGCTTATAGGATTGTATAAAAAATAATATAATTAAAATTTTAACTTAAACTAGGTATTTTATTATTTTGTCTAAAAAGTCAATTTTTTGGGCGGATCAAAATGGCATTATTGATTCCCCAATTCGTAAAAACAGTTGGTAGTTTTCCAACTCATCATGTGATTCACAATTGACTGGGAATAAGTAATTAATTCATTCAGATTTCAGTTTGATTAGATCATTATTTATAAGGGGAATAAAATGTTATTATTGACCAAATAAGTTTGATGATTAAAAAATTATGAATTTTTCCAATAGAAAGTACACATAGTAGCAATAATGAATCCATTAAGCAAATTTAAGTAAGCTAGTTTTTTGTGCTACAATTGCACCAAATCTTTCATGCTACAACCATGTGCATACAACACATCACAACATTTGAAAATATGATATACGTACACTTGTGAACCCTATATGAAAAATCTGTAATATTTCACAAGGCTTTTATCGTGTACTATAATAAACAGGGATAATAAGGCGAGTGTGAATTAAATAACTTTGTTTGGATCTTTATTTAGCGGTTAAAAAGATGAGTGTTTAGGATGAAAAATAATATAAGTTTTGTGTTTGGACAAGAGTGGCAGTTTGCGGATGTGTAGTTGCCGTCTAAAAGAGGATACGAAGTCTTCTATACAATTATGCACGAAAAAACTCAAATCATCAAGACAATCAAGCGAAACTTCTATAACATTTAAAGTTATTTACCCATGCACGGAGTCGACGAATCACACTCTCTCTACAGTCGGCCAAACGTGCAGGCATTCAGAGCAGTACCTTAGCCTACCACCCTCTCACACTTATGAAAACCTCATGCCAGCTTTATACTACAGACTCACAGGTGGGTCCTTGAAAACGTACGGTTTTTGACCGTCTTTCTTCACATATTGTCAGATACCGGATGGAGATGACCAAATTCCAAACCTCCAATCGAGAATCTCACCGACTCTCTTGAGTTTCCAAAGGCGAAATCTGTTTTTTTTTTTTTTACCACAATCTTACCACCACGGTGTTTATCAACCCTAAGTGGAAATTTTCTGTGACAATGACTAGTCATGAACTCAATTTGATCTATATAAATATGGCAAGTCATTGAAGCCAATCGTTCTACAGCTATTGGAGTGGAATTATTGATGTCTTCATCAGCAATTAATAAACGGCTGAGGAAACAACAATTGGGTTCAGAAATTATGGAGAAGATAGCAAGTGAAAGTGGATGCATGGCTTGCTTACATCATTTGAGAGAATACCATTACCACCACCAGGCTGCTGCATGCGCCCTCTGTTTTGCAGATTTATTAAAACTGAACCAAAAGGTTCTTCCTTGGATGATGTCAAATTTCCCATTCCTGCGTTTATTTTATAAATATTTGATTTCCAAGATAGCTGGCGCAGACTCAAATACAATACAATTCCCAGGCGGAGAAAGTGCTGAAAATCACATGCAACCATGTAGCTATAGGCTAAGATAATAGGAAAAAGGGACGATGATCGATCGGTACTCGGTTTTGCTGAGCTAGTCAATCAATCATATACTCCCATGTGACAAAGCGAAAAGCGTACAGAGCTTCATCAATTATCCTTGCTTAATTAATTGGTTCACATTACTGCAAATGATTAATTAACTAACTAAAAATTGTGCTAACATTTATAATGAATTCATTTTTTTATATGTTAATACGTCTCATACTCTCATTTAATGTCTTAATAGATTTCTCATAGAAATCTCACCACGTACTTCCAAGAAAGATGGATGTCAAATATTGCAAAAGTCGCGGTGATCACACTCCATAATCATTCAACTGAGAAGTAAACACACAAAGGATACAAAGAAAGGGGGAAAAGGACATAGATCGAGCATCTTTCATTATAGATCTTTTTCTAATTATGTACTATAATTGATCGTCTCACATGTCAACAATTCTGAAATGAAACGTACATTATTGTTTTTTTTTTGTTGCTGTGCATCATTTTATAGAATCATTTACCTTAGATACTTGATTGCAACTACGGAACTTCATGTATAAAAGTAAATAATTTCTCATAAACAGATATAGACTAAGAATGATATCGACCCTCGAAACAAACAAAAATAAACTAACTCAGCTACCTATTCTCTGACGAACTTTTTCATGTTCTGCATAATTTTCCTCTGCACCGTCATCGTCTGATTTCTCCATCAGCTCGAAAACATAGTAAACCATTCTTATGAATTTTCTGTACCAATAAACCATTTCTAACGTATTTCACTATCCATTTTAGCATTGGACACCTTCTCACCAAAGTTTATCCGCAACTAAATGGCAATATGGCATCAAGCTGATCACTGATAATGGATAAGAATAAGATAGCTAAACTGCAAAAGGCAAAAGCTATAGGTTAACCATTAACATCAAGCCAAAACAAGTACATGAAAAGTGAAAACAGCTAAAATGGGTCCGGATCTGGAATTAGTACATAAATGAGGGATCCCAAGAGTAATTAACCAAAATCCCAAAAGTAAAGAGAAAGAAAAAAAAAATACATCATCCCCTTCCCACCATCACCCACTTGCACAGCTGCACTTACTCTTCTCCTCCATATCTATTTATAGATCCCACTCCACAATTACACCACACCCATCTCAAAAACCCTCCATCCCAACAACCTCCTCTGTTCTCAGAAGAAAGAAGAAGAAAAAAAAAAACAGAGTACCAAAGAAGTAAGTAATTAACAATGGGGATCCGAAGCTTGTTGTCTTCATCCGTGATGGTTGGAGCCAAGAAGATCATGAAGGGGAAACGCCGCAACCAGCAGCAGAAGCACCATTGCCAACACATGACCTTTCCATCGGCAGCCGCCGCGGTGCCGAAAGGGCACATTGCAGTTTACTTATTGGGCGATGATCAAAGAAAGGAGGAGACTCCGATGAAGAGGTTCGTGCTGCCGATTTCGTATGTGAACCATCCGATGTTCGGGGAGTTGCTGGATATGGCGGAAGCAGAGTTTGGGTTCCATCACTCCATGGGAGCTCTGACTCTGCCTTGCGATGAAGATTCCTTCCTCCATCTCATCTCTTCCCCTGCATTTTGATCTGTTCCCTCCAAGCATTGATTCTGGAGTTATTTGATTAGTCTTGTGATGTAATTAGCAGAAGAAGTGAACAGAGCTATGTGTATGTAGACCAAATTTTGACTGGTTCCACACACATATTCATATAATACAAAGATCGAATTGTATACACTTTATTTACAATGTAGTGAGCAGAGATCCTATGTGTTTTTGTGATTATGGTTGCAGAATTAGTTTATTGTTCTGAGAATTTGTATGTACTATCTACTAGATTCATAAACTTTGGGTAGGCATTGAAAGAGCTAATCGATTCTTTAAAATGAATTGATAAGTGATGTAATTAATATACATTTTAGACTTTCACACTTTAGCTTGTTGTTTGAAAATGTAAAATATATATGAATGATTTAAACAAATTACAATCATTGTTGTCAGGGTAAATTATAAGTTTGGTCATCGAGATTACAAAATTGTTCTAAGTTTGCTACTTATTTTTTTTTATGTTAGTCACTGAAATTAGTTTATAGTCAAAGTTTGGTCACTGACCGTTACCTTATATCAGTCTTCGTTAATAATCCCTAATCACCCAATATTAACCCAAAAAAGTCAAATTCCCTCTGCCACGGCATGAAAACCTGCCATATAAGATTTTACAACTCAATATGTGACCTAACATTTGACCTGACGTTTCCTTCTTGACCCGCTCGATCAAAAAAATAACTTATTCATTCTCAACCTCCCACGATATCTCGCCACTTTTCGAGGAGAAGAAGAAGACGAAGAAGGAAAAGGTCGAACTTTTGAAGCTTGATATTCATGATTGATTGAACTCTCACACCTGCTCTTCTTCATTGCTGGACTTCAATCTCTGAATATGAAATCTTGAGATTTGGCTGAGACGATTTCAAATTTGGGAAGAAGGAAAGGTCGTTCTTCGATATGGAATCTAGATCAGAAAGCTTTGGATGATGTTTAGGATGTTAGGGGGTTGCTGGGTTTATGTAAATATGGGTTCGAGGTGGTGATAATTATGCTTTTCAGATGGTGAAGGGGATTGGGAGCAAATGTCGACTCTTTTTGGGAAGCTTTAAAGTAGTTGTTTCACTCTAGAATGTACCCAGGGCTAACATAGTAATTCTTGGGGCTCTTATATGGACTCGTCTGATCTCTTAGGGAGGCAAGTAATTTGTGAGGAGCAAGGGCGGCCCCCGTGATCTACGCTCCGACGCCCAAGTTAGTACGCATATAGATGATAGTGCATAGAATGTCGAGATAGAGTTTTGAGAGAGAGACCTCAAGTGGGGGGAAGTGAGGAAGAGGAAGGGTCCTTGACTTTGAGGACTTGGCCTCCTTATATAGCATTTGGAAGTGATTGTGGGGTCTCAAGTTGCCTCCTAAGCTTCGCTTTTTCATTTGGAAATGTGGTAAAAATGCTATTTCAACACGAGCGAGGCTGTTTGGCCGCAAGTGTGCTCCTAACCCATTGTGTCCACTCTGTGAGGACCACGAGGAAACGGTTATGCATTGCTTCTTTCAATGCCCAAAGGCTCTTCAGACTTGGTCTCAACTTGGGCTGCTGAATGTGCTTCCTGGGGCTGACTCTTGCTTTGTGGATTGGTTCTTTGGATTCAAGGATAGAGCCTCTGTTGGCCAGATTACCATAATTGTGTGCTCCCTGTGGAATATCTGGATTGCTCGAAACGGGTGGGTATTTGAGAGTCGGGCGTTCTCTCCGCCCTCTGTGGCAATTTTAGCCGAACGTGATGTTTTAAATGTCCAAGAAGCTAGGATTGGATCCTCAGCTCATCTCTCCTCATGTCCAGCTGGATTGTCTTCTCAGCCTGGGAGTTCTCAATCGTCGACCTTATCACCGTCTGGTCCTTTCTGTAAGGTTGTGCATTGTGATGGTTCCTTTGTTTCTGATGCACAGGTGGCGGCTTATGGGATTGCTATTGCAAACTCCCACGGTCAGGTTATCGACGGGAAGGCTAAGCGTTTCTTTTGTTCTTCTCCGTTACAAGCGGAAGCGTTTGCGATTCTTAATGCAGTTATCTGGGCGGCCCAGGACCCTGTACCAACGTGTGTCCGATCCGATTGTCAGAGGTTGACGAATGCGTTGAGACAGGATCCGAGTCTTTGGCCATGGCAGTGTCGGGCATCTCTTGCTCGTGTGGTTTCCATTCTCTGTGTTTCTCCTTGGATTACGGTTGAGTTTGTTCCTCGTCGATTCAATAAGTTAGCTGATTGGATCGCTAGGAACTCTCGCCTTGATCTCCTTCCTCCTGAATGGTTTCTTGTTGCCGAACTTGTCGCTCCATTATTGTAATCGTTGTGCTTCCCTTGTTTGGGTTTTGGAATGAAATGAATGATGAATGTTGTAAAAAAAAAAAAGGTCGTTGATCAAATAAGAGGGAAAATTTGTGTTCATTTTTGGGTTCTAAGAATCAAATAAGACGAGGTTCATTTTTGGATTATCGAGTGGACTGTTTTTATTTGTAAATAATAGATGCTAGAGAATTATTATTTTTTATTAAAAAATTGAATTTTGTATTATTTCTCAAGTTGACATGTTGTTGATTGTTAGTCAATGATATTGACCGTCCGACTTAACGGTCAATCTCTAGTTGGGCCAAATTAGCTTTTGTGGATATTATCTAGGGCATTATGGATATTTATGAAAATATTGGTCAAATTAGTCGTTTAAGATAAAGTTTAGACCATTTTAAGGCATTAAATCTTGATAAAAAGATTAATAAGAAATATTTCATAAATCAACAACTCGATTACTCAACGTTTGGCTATAATTTGCTTCTCAACACTAATTGACCACTTCAGCACCGTCAAACAATTGTCTTTTTATTTCCACCTCAACATGACTTGACCATGATGTTTGAACGAATTGAAAATCAACGATTTAGCTATTACATTGTATTTATAAAGATTTTTTAAAATATTTTAATATTATTTTGTTAAAAATCAAAATTTTACTCAGAAAATGATTTTCCTAACCATACAAATATGACTAAAGCTGCAACCACAAAGTTTCATCATTAAGTAACTTTTGTGAGTAAAATTTATCATGTAGTTGTTGATCGTATTGGTTTGGACCCTTAGTGGGTTTTGGTCCTCGGCGTGCGTGCGTGCTCATGCAGTCACAACCCACGTCCACGTCGGGTCATGTAGCTAGTATGCCCTAGCTCTCTCGTATGTATAAATATGTTGCTTGTAACCTGGAGAAAACCTAATGAGAATCGTAGCAAGGAGTAGCCACAAGCTCTCCCGTGGACTAGTCCCAGTTATTGGGGAAACCACATAAACTTGGTGTTCTTGTTTCGATTTCGTTTAAGTCTCTCAAACCTACGTTCATCAACATGGTATCAGAGCTATCGGTTGCTGATTATGATCGTTTGTCTGTTCGCTTGGACTCAAAGAACTTCGCTCTATGGGAATTTCAATTCCGTATGTTTGTTGAAGGCAAAGGGTTGTATGGTTTTCTTGATGGTACCGCCGTCAAGCCTGATTCTCCCGCAGCGGCTGTTGCGGCTTGGAACCAGCAGAATGCTCGCGTCGCATATTGGATCCTGGGGCCAGTTGACCCATCTATTGTTCTCGGGCTTCGTCGCATGTCCACAGCTCAGGAGATGTGGGAACATCTCTCAAGGACCTTTTCTACGACCAACATCGCCCGCCAGTTCGAGTTGCAGATGGCGCTGGATCGCCTCGAGCAAGGTGATTTGGATGTCACTGCCTACTATAATGCAGCACAAGAGATGTGTACTGAACAGGACATATTGACTGCTTCGCTGCGTTCTAAGGAAGCCTCCGATGAAGTGATCGAGGAGCGGCAGCAAGGGCGTATTCTCCGGTTTTTGATGCGCCTTCGTCCCGAGTTTGAAGCTGTGCGCTCCACCCTTATTAATAAGGAGACGTTGACCATGGAGGGAATTCTTGGCTATCTTGTGCGTGAAGAAATTCGTTTTCGCACTCAGGCAAAACTCGATGTGCATCCGGGGGAAGGGGACGTTGCCTTTTCCGCTGCTAAAAAGGCTGCTAGTGCTTCTGCCGCTGAGGACAGCGCCTATGCCGTTCAGAAACCTCAGTTCCAGCGTCGCATTCCGGTGGCTGAGCTGCAGTGTCACCATTGTCGGGAACGTGGGCACCTTCAGAAGCATTGTAAGACTCGAAACATTTGCAACTACTGCAAACTTTCGGGTCACATTAAATTGCCCATCTCTCAAGAATCGTGCGCGTCCGATCTTGCCCACTCCTGCCCAGTCACCGCGACCTGCCTATGCTACTGAAGCTGTTCTCCCGGCTGGCTCGTCCATATCTCCTGCCATGATTGAGCAGCTTGTTGCTCAAGCCGTGCAACGTTCACTCCCCACCGCTATTAGTTCTGCTTTTGCCTCGCTCAACGTCTCAGGTACGACTAAACCCTGGCTTCTTGATTCAGGTTGTTTCAATCACATGACTAGTGATAGGGAATTGTTACGTGATATCGTCTCGGTCTCTGATTTGTCCTTGCAAGTCGCCAATGGTCAGCGACTCTCGGTTTCTGGTGTTGGTTGTGTGCGTAGTACTCCTGTTCAGCTCTCGCATACATTACATGTTCCAGATTTGCATCCTAACCTTGCATCTGTTGGTCAGCTTACTGATCTTGGTTATACTGTTATCTTTTCCCCTTCGGGGTGTGTTATCCAGGACACGACAACGGGGAGGAGGATCGGAAAGGGGACTAAACGTGGCCGTATTTTCTACCTGGATGAGCTCTCCGATCAGGCAGCTTCCTTGTAGGTGTCTAGGTCCTCTGTTTTGTCTTGTTTTCCCGAGTATGCTTTTTCCAGTACTTGTCATTCGGATTTTGAATTATGGCACTCTCGTCTTGGCCATCTCCATTCTAGTCGGCTTGTTACCATGATCAAACAAAATTTGTTGGGAAACAATAAAATTGCTAGTTGTTTGGATTTCTTATGTTCCAGTTGTGTTGGTGCCAAAATCTCTCGAAAAACCTTTGCTTTGAGTCAAACCGTTATCTCCAAACCTTTCCACTTAGTCCACACGGATCTCTGGGGTCCGAGCTCTGTTCTCTCTCGTCATGGTTATCGATATTTCGCTCTCTTTGTTGATCATGCTACCCGATTTGTGTGGGTGTATTTTCTTAGGCTGAAATCCGACTTGTATGCTGTGGCTACTAAATTCTTTAAGATGGTTCGGACGCAGTTTGACTGTGACGTGAAAATGGTTCGTTCGGATGAAGGAGGCGAGTTTAATTCTCGGCCCTTGTTGGGATTATATCGTTCTCTTGGTATACTGATGCAGAAGGCCTGCCCCGATGTTCCTCAACAAAACGGTGTTGTTGAGCGCAAGAATCGTCACGTCATGGAGATAACGCGAGCCCTCCAGCTTGCATCTCATGTCCCACCTCGTTTTTGGACAGAGGCAGTCGCCAAAGCCGTTCTCCTTATGAACTACCAGATTACTCCCACCCTTAATAACACCAGTCCTTTCTTCGCCCTTTATTCTGTTCAGCCTGACTATTCTTCTCTCCGTGTGTTCGGTTCTACTGTTTTTGTCCTTCTTCCCCGTCATGAACGTACTAAGTTGACTTCTAAATCTGCTCGATGTGTCTTCCTTGGGTATAGTTCGGTTCATAAGGGCTACTTGTGCTTTGATCCTAGCCAAGATCGTATGCGCATTTCGTGCAATGTCATGTTCTTTGAAAATCTTCCTTTTTATTCCCCTAGTTCCGAGTCACGTTCCTTTGATTCCTTCTTGAGTCAGCTGCCTGTTTTCTCTGATTCGGATGATGCTCCTCTTGCCACTTTTGAAGACTCCGATCCTCCCTCCCCACCTGGCTCTTCGCTGCCCAGCTCGTCGGCTTCGTCCGCCTCACCGCCTTCTGCTTCGCCAACCGCGAGTTCTGGTTCGTCATCGCCTCCTACTCCCCCTCCACCACGGCGGTCTACTCGATCCACATTGGGGCAGCCTCCTGTGCGTTATGGTGACTATGATTATTCCTTCCATGTTGCTTCAGTTCCTATTCCCACTCGTTATAAGCAGGCTGTTGGGAATCCATTCTGGGATGCGGCTATGCAAGAAGAGACTGATGCTCTTCATGCCAACCAGACTTGGACTGTTGTAGATCGGCCGGATCCTTCTGTTCCCGTTGTCGGGTCTCGGTGGGTCTATAATTTGAAACTGCTTCCTGATGGCAGTATTGAACGGCACAAGGCGCGGGTGGTTGGTCAGGGTTTTAGTCAGATATATGGTGTTGACTATGATGAGACTTTCGCGCCTGTCGCGAAAATGCAGACTGTTCGTACCTTGTTGGCGGTGGAAGCCCTTCGAAATTGGCCTCTTCTTCAACTCGACGTCAAAAATGCCTTCCTCCACGGTGAGTTGAAGGAGCGGGTGTATATGGAGCCTCCACCTGGGTATTCTGGTGCTTCTCCTGGTCAGGTTCTACTTCTCAACCGATCGTTGTATGGCCTGAAACAGGCTCCCCGCGCCTGGTTTGATAAGTTCCATCAGACGATTGTCGGACTCGGTTTTGAGCAGAGTCTCAATGATCCATCATTGTTTCTTCGTCGTTCTTCTACTGGTCTTGTGGCACTTCTCCTCTACGTTGACGACATGATTGTTACTGGGGATGATGAACATGGTATTGCTTCTCTTAAGCGTGGCCTGCATGACTCGTTCCATCTCAAGGACCTCGGCTCCTTGTCCTACTTTTTGGGTCTCGAAATCACTCGCAGCCCAGCAGGCATTCTTCTCAGTCAACACCGCTACATTGATGATCTTCTTCATACGTCTAAGTTTGATGAGTGCACGCCGGTTTTCACTCCCATGGAACTCAACTTGAAGCTGAGCAAGGATTCGGGTACCTTGCTGGCCGATGGGTCTCAGTATCGTTCCCTTTTGGGAAGTCTCTTATACTTACTTCACACTCGTCCTGATCTCTCCTATGTCGTTCAGATTGTTTCACAGTTTATGTCCGCTCCTCGGGACATGCATTTGGCTGCTGTTCATCGCATTATGCGCTATCTTCAGCACACTCGTGATCTTGGTATCTTCTTCCCGTCTACTGGTGATATGTCCCTCCGTGCTTTCTCGGACTCTGACTATGCAGGCTGTATTGATACTCGGAGGTCTACCTCCGGCTGGTGTGTTCGTCTTGGCAACTCTTTTGTCTCGTGGCGTTGTAAGAAACAGGATAAAGTCTCCAAATCCTCGACGGAGGCCGAGTACCGCTCCATGTCTGATGTGAGTTCTGAATTGGTGTGGCTTCAGCGACTTCTTCAGGATTTTGGGGTTATGGTTCCTATTCCGATGGCTCTCTATGTTGACAACACGAGTGCCATTCAAATCGCGGCTAATCCTATTCTACATGATCGCACTAAACACATTGAGATACACATTCACTATGTTCGTGACCTTGTTCGGGATGGGGTGATTCGTCTCCACTACTTGCCTACTTTGGAGCAGATTGCGGACATCTTTACGAAGGCTTTTAGTTCGAGTCGTCACTGGTACCTTTCTCGCAAATTGATGCTTCAACCCCGCATCAATTTGGGGGAGGATGTTGATCGTATTGGTTTGGACCCTTAGTGGGTTTTGGGCCTCGGCGTGCGTGCGTGCTCATGCAGTCACAGCCCACGTCCACGTCGGGTCATGTAGCTAGTATGCCCTAGCTCTCGTATGTATAAATATGTTGCTTGTAACCTGGAGAAAACCTAATGAGAATCGTAGCAAGGAGTAGCCACAAGCTCTCCCGTGGACTAGTCCCAGTTATTGGGGAAACCACGTAAACTTGGTGTTCTTGTTTCGATTTCGTTTAAGTCTCTCAAACCTACGTTCATCAACAGTAGCGACGAACCATTTTATTGGTCAGAAAAATCCATTTTGTCGTAGCATGAATTATTTATTACCTTATCCTCTGGAACTAAAATGTACTACAACATTTTATAAAAAAAAATGTACTACAACTATTCCCCCAACGAATACTACAACTTATTTCCGAAAATGTAAGATAAAAGCAAAACAATGTGGTCTCCTTTTTATCTATTTTCTTCTCCTTCTCCTTCTTTCCCTTCACGTGAACTATTTGAATAGAAACACAACACACTCTACTTCTGCCAATAATCACATATGTCATAAAGAGAAGTATATTTATCCCACATGCATGGTCCAAAGGCTTTAATGAGCCATCTATTAGTCGAAGGATCGTTATAATTAATCGTGTCGTCGTATATATCATACCAATGGAGTCCGTTGCTACCTGACCATTCAAAGGAACAATAGAATAGGGTTCTGAAAAACAATGTCGTCCTAAATGTAAAATGGAAGCTCTCATCATGTCCCAACATCCTAACTCCAAGATCATCATCTTTGGACTTACAATGTACCTTCAATTGCACCTTGAGTGTGTTGGTTATTACCACCGTCCTCTTGACAAACACCGGAAAGATCCTGTCGACTTTGTGGTTGGCTTCAACAATGCCATCCATGGTTCCAATAGTCAGCATGAATATGACATTAAGTATCAATATTGTACTCCTTATCCTCATGCTCGAATTCAACATATGTTGTATATGGTGTAACGCCAATGTATGTGTAGTAGGCACATTTAGGTGAAGTCAATGAGCATATGTAGGTGTGTATACGCGCATTAATTTCGGCCTTTTAGTTTTATTGGTTAGTAATGGATAGCTCGACTCTATTTTCTTTTTCTATTTTCATCTCGAAGTTGTTTTTGTTTTCCGAAGTTATAGATTATTCCAATTATAGGTTTTGTCCTAAAGACGCGGTTGAATAACTCCTTAATTGTTCTAAATTAAGAGAGATTTTTTACCTTGTAAAGAGCCAAGTTAATACCATAGTTATGCTTGAATTTATATAATGGACCTCTTTGGTATGAAATTTTAAACATTCATATCATATCCAAAATTTCAAAATAACTGAACCAATTTGACTCATCTCATGAGTTTACGTCCTTTTTTGTCTTAACTATCTCAAGGGAAACAATTAGATACAAACTGAAAGCCTTTTCAAACAATCGTTACAAGACATAAAATAAAAGAGGGCGACAACAATCATAGGTCGAGCCATTGATAAGAGAGTCTTTTTTCCCCCACAAATGGAAAGGTCTTTAGTACCTTTATGGAACGGTCAGAATTCGTTTTTGTCTTAGATATTATTTTAAGAGACTTTATTCATTTTAGAAATTATAGTTATCATAATATTAGAATACGTTTTTGTCTTAGATATTATTTTAAGAGACTTTATTCATTTTAGAAATGGTAGTTATCATAATATTAGAATAGCTTTTTTATAAGGGCAATGTCTATTTTTTACCCAAACCTTTTTCAGATTCTTTTATTTTAACCAAACCTATTGAATTCCTAAAAATTATCCAAACGTTAACTCTCCGTCAACTTTTCTGTTAATAATGCTGACTAAGTATGACCATAATGAGTTGACTTCCTACGTGGCAGTCAGAATACCATCATTTACTATTTTTAATAAAAAGATTATCGAAAAACAAAACAAAATCCCACCTCTCACATGGACGAAATAAGTAACGGTAACAGAATGAATGCCCAGACTTTGATAAATTATAATACGTTTGGATAATAAATAGAATTTCTATAGGTTTGGTTAAAATAAAAGAATCTGAAAAAGGTTTGGATAAAAAATAGACATTGCCTTTTTATAATTTTGATTAGTTTTCATAGCTTTTAGTGGTAACAGAGTAAAAAACTTTGACCTCCTGAACACCAAATCATTTAAATTAGGTTGCTTTTTTATCCATGTATAATTTATTTATCATAGAATAAACAAATACTAAACTGTTGGGTTATTTTAATAGTGTGAGGTCGTAAGGGTATTGGGCCTATTTTTATAGGGGTGAGTTTATAGTTTGGGTGGTTTGGATGGTTCAGCTAGGTGAGTTCTTTAACAATATTTTTGATGACGTGCAGTGTTGATTGGATCAAATTAATAACATTTTGAATGAAGAAGGACAAAAAATTTATTTTTGTATTTGCGGCACTATCTTAGTTATTCGATGACCATGAGAGACACAATATTTATAGGTAGGAGATTATGCATGGGAGTGAGTTTGTTGTGGTGTGTGACATAGTGACATTCCTACATAGATAGAATATGCTCCACAGATGTACGAACAATCTGAATTTATTAACAGAGTGAAATCGAATTTCAACTTCAACGGTCATCTGCTTCTCCGTCATCGTTTTGTCTTCGTCGCTGATATGATGCCGATGCGCTGCCGTTTCACCATCACTGAGAAGATCCACTTGCTCCGCTGCCGTTTCATTTATGTTCTCCGAAGAAGCTGATGATGCGCTGTTGTTTCTTTATTTCTTCTTTGAGCTGTACTTTCTTTTACTCCAAGTCAGACTTGGTTTCCTTTCCAAGCTACCAAACAATGTCCATGGAAGCTTGTCTGTTTGTATGGATTGCTAAGCCTATAAGAGGCGAATTTGATGAATGAGAAAGCAAGAACTAGGGTTTTCAGTCTCTCCTACTTCTTCCTTTGTTATGGTATCAGAGCCTGGGATAAAACCCTAGCCGCCGCCCCTCTTTTCCAATGGCTGATAATCAAGCTGAACAACAGCAACAACCAGACCCTCAACCACAAGATCCACCAAATGTTTTTGATCCTGCATCTGACCCTTTCTTCCTCCATGGTTCTGAGCAACCTGGATCCCTTCTTGTTGCTGAAAAACTCACAGCAACCAACTACAACGATTGGAGCAGAGCTATGCTCAATGCCCTTGCAGCCAAAAACAAGTTGGGTTTCATCAATGCTTCCATCCCTGAACCACCACCCACAGATCCAAGACATGGAGCTTGGACACGCAACAACGTTATGATTCTCAACTGGATCCAGCAAGCCACTTCTCCAGAAATCCGCAAGACCATTCTCTCCAGTGAAACAGCAGCAGAAGCTTGGAAAAGTCTTCAAACCAGATATGGATCTGGTGATCTTATTCGCATTGCAGAGCTTGAAGAAGCACTCTCTTCCCTGCAGCAAGGTAACCAGACTATAACTGAGTACTATGGTAGAATGATTACTCTCAAAGATGAGTTAGAGAATTATCAACCTCTACTACCATGCTCTTGTACTCCAACCAGTCACAATACCTGTGTTGCTATGCTAACTGTTCATCAGTACCAAGAAACAAGTTATGTTATTAAGTTCCTCAGAGGCCTCAATGAAAATTTCTCTGGAGTCAGAGCTCAAGTGCTTTTTGGAGATGAACTACCAAACATCAACAGGGTCTTCCAAAGGATGCTTCAACATGAAAGACAACTCTATGGAACTCAATCTGGAAAGTTAATAGCATCTATGCAAACAGATTCTTCAACAATGGCATTTCAAGGAGGCAACATGAGGCCAAACCAAAGTTCAAAACCTCCTTACTGCACATTCTGCAGAAGGGAAGGTCATACTGAAGACATATGTTTCCAAAAACATGGATGGCCTCCTGGAATGACCAGACCTTCCTCCTCCACACCTGGCACAATCACCACTTGTTCCTACTGCAAAAGAAGGGGACACACTGAAGATAAGTGTTTTTAGAAAAATGGCTATCCTGCCAATTTTGTGCCTAGGAACCCAAATTCAGTTGCTGGTAGAGGAAGACCTACTGTGAATTCTGCTGTCACCAATGCTCCATCAGATGAGGTCAAACTCTCAAGAGCTGATTATGACAAGCTTATGAGCCTGATGAATGCTCAAAAACCCACAACTTCTTTCTCTGCTGCTGCCTTTGTCACCAACAAAGGTATTCTTCCAACCCCTATCTTTAATGCTTTCTCCTATACACAGACAATGTGGATAGTCGACACTGGAGCATCAGACCACATTGTCTGCTCCCTCTCTTACTTACAAGACCCTCAACCATTGACAAACATCTACATAACTCTACCCACTGGAAATAAGTCCAAGCCACACATTCTGGCACCGCTGTTTGCAATGATGCTATCACCCTTCAAAATGCACTGTTTGTTCCCAATTTTTCCTTCAACCTTCTATCTATGAGCAGGCTCACTTCCACATCAAACCTCAGCTTATCTTTTCAATCTACCATGTGTCTTATACAGGATCTGGAGCAGAAGAGAGTGATTGGTTCTGCTAGCCTTTACAATGGCCTTTATTACCTCCAAGCAACATACACCCCTAAGTTGATCTCTGTAGCTTCCAGAACTCCCTTTGACTTATGGCATTTTAGATTAGGACATGTTTCCCACTCTAAAATCCCTATTCTCAACCAATTTTGTACCTCCGTTACCACACAGAGAGATCAACCTTGTAATGTATGTCATTTTGCAAAACATAAATGCCTTTCATTTCCTGTAAGCCAGTCTGTAACTCAATACCCTCTTGAACTACTCCATGTAGACATTTGGGGTCCTAACTCTATCCCTTCTTATGATGGCTACAAGTATTTTTTAACAATTGTGGATGACTTCTCTAGAATGACATGGATCATTCTTCTCCATCTCAAATCAGAAACCAGACCAAAACTGATTGCTTTCTGCACTCAGATGCAAAGAAAATTCCAAAAACAAATCAAAACCATCAGGTCTGATCAAGGCCAAGAATTCCAAATGTCTGATTTTTTCACCTCAACAGGCATTACTCATGAAATGTCCTGTGTAGAAACCCCACAACAGAATAGCAAAGTTGAGAGGAAACATCAACATATTCTTGCTGTGGCTCGAGCTCTCCAATTTCAAGCTCATCTGCCACCAACTTTCTGGGCAGATTGTGTAAAACATGTTGTTCATCTCATCAATAGAGTTCCCACAGCAGTCCTTCTAAACCAGACACCCTATCATCTCTTCTACAACCAGCCACCTGACCTCACAGAATTAAGAGTTTTTGGATGCCTTTGCTATGCCTCTACCCTAGCCAATCACAGAACAAAGTTCCAACCTAGAGCTAGGAAAACAATATTCATAGGATATACTCCTGGCATCAAAGGATACAGGCTATATGATTTAAATTCCCATGAAGTGTTTACTTCACGAGATGTCATCTTCTATGAGTCAAATTTTCCTTTTCAAGAAATACAGTCTGATGATTCCTCAAGCTCTCCATCAGATCTTATCTTTCCTCTCCCATCCCCAGACTCAACTCTTGTTCATGAAACTAATCCACTCCCTACCAACACTACCCCCTCCTCACCTACTATACATCCTCCTCCTGACCAAGACAACAATCCTTCTCCCCCTCCCTCTCCACACAACCCTACACCTGCATCACCAACCAATTCATCTCCACCACCCTCCCCTCCTAACCCACCTCCTCCACCAAATCTCAGAAGATCAGACAGAACAATCAAACCTCCTTCTCACCTAATAAAAAACTACCACTGTTACCTTGCACAAGGTCCTAGCAGTTTCAGTCATCTCAACCTGCAACAGATCCAAGACAACAGGTACTCTCTATCTTCAATGATTTCTTACAACAATTTGTCTGATCCATTCAAAAGGTTCCTGTTAAACATTTCCAGTCATCAAGAACCACAATCATACAAAGAGGGCTTCTAAGCTTGATGTCTGGAATCAGGCTATGCAGCATGAAATTTAGGCCTTGATCAAAAATCACACTTGGGATGTTGTCTCTTTACCACCTAACAAGAAACCAGTTGGTAATAAATGGATCTACAAAGACAAGTTTTTATCTGATGGCTCTCTGGAAAGACATAAAGCCAGGTTGGTTGCAAAAGGAAATACACAGCAGGAACGCATTGATTTTCAGGATACTTTTGCTCCTGTTATCAAGATGACTACTAACAGAACCCTCCTAGCTATTGCTGCTCTCAGAAATTGGCACATTCACCAGTTGGATGTAGACTGCATTCTTAAATGGTGACTTAGAAGAAGAAGTCTATATGACATTGCCTAAAGGATTCACCCCTCCTCCTGACATTCCTAATCCAGTCTGCAGGTTAAGAAAATCCCTCTATGGCCTAAAACAGGCATCCAGACAATGGTTCTCCAAGCTTACTGACAAGCTCCTACAATTTGGCTATGTCCAGAGCAAAGCTGATCACTCACTCTTCTTCAAAGTCACAGAAACGAGCTACTCATGTATCCTCATCTATGTTGATGACTTGGTTTTGGGAGGCAATGATTTGGATGAAATTCAAGCTTTGAAACAGGTCCTACATTCAGAATTCAGCATTAAAGATCTTGGCAACCTAAGATTCTTTCTGGGAATTGAAGTTGCAAGAAGTAAGACAGGTTTACATCTTTCCCAAAGAAAGTACACATTGGAGATTCTGGAAGAAGCAAATATCATTAACTCCAAATCAGTTTCCACTCCTATGGATTACAAACTACATCTCAGCAATGAAGTTGACATTCCCTTTGAGGATCCAGAACACTACAGAACAATAGTAGGGAAGCTCATCTATCTCACTACCACCCGCCCTGACATTAGTTTTGCTACACAGCAACTAAGTCAGTACATGTCCAACCCATCACTCACTCATTACAAGGCTGCTCTCCGAGTGTTGATGTACCTGAAAACAGCACCAGCTACATGTCTTTTCTTACCATCCCAAGGTTCTTTTCATCTAAAAGCATTCACAGATTCTGACTGGGCAGCCTGTGTGGATACAAGGCGCTCTACAACTAGGTTCTGCATCTATTTGGGTGATTCACTCATCTCATGGAAAAGCAAAAAACAACATACCGTCTCAAGATCCTCTTGCGAGGTAGAGTATCGAGCTCTGGCCTTTACTGCTTGTGAAATCCAGTGGTTGCAATACCTTCTTCAAGACTTCCAGGTTCCTTCTTCAACACCAGCATCCTTGTATTGTGACAACCAGAGCGCCATCCACATAGCCAAGAATCCCACCTTCCATGAGAGGACGAAGCATATTGAGCTCGACTGTAACTTTGTCAGGGAAAAGCTCCAATTGGGAACACTCAAACTCTTGCACATCTCCTCAGTACATCAATTGGCCGATCTCTTCACCAAACCACTCTCCCCTGCACCATTTCTTTCTTTGCTCTCCAAGCTTGGTGTGCGAAACCTCTGCCCACCAGCTTGCCGGGGGGGGGGGGGGGGTAACAGAGTGAAATCGAATTTCAACTTCAACGGTCATCTGCTTCTCCGTCGTCGTTTTGTCTTCGTCGCTGATATGATGCCGTTGCGCTGCTGTTTCACCATCACTGAGAAGATCCACTTGCTCCGCTGCCGTTTCATTTATGTTCTCCGAAGAAGCTGATGATGCGCTGTCGTTTCTTTATTTCTTCTTTGAGCTGTACTTTCTTTTACTCCAAGTCAGACTTGGTTTCCTTTCCAAGCTACCAAACAATGTCCATGGAAGCTTGTCTGTTTTTATGGATTGCTGAGCCTATAAGAGGCGAATTTGATGAATGAGAAAGCAAGAACTAGGGTTTTCAGTCTCTCCTACTTCTTCCTTTGTTATTTATTGATTAGGATAAGGCAACTCATGGATAATAGAAGTTCAGTCATAATCATTCCAATCCCGAAGCTATTTTTCGTTACATTTTAAACTTTTGAATTTTTTTTTATTCGGAAATTTGACCATTCCAATCCCAAAGTTGTTTTCCGTTACATTTTTTTACTTTCAATTTTTTGGCAATTGACGTGTCATTTACTTGTTCCAATCTTCACGAACCATTCTCTTTGCTATCAATTGATAGAGCCTTGTTTCAAAAGGCATGTGGACAAATGTTTGCATTTGCCAATTAAAACAATTAGAGCGACGTTTAACAAGTGCAATAAGAAGTGTCATAAAAAAAAAACTCAAATTATGAGATTGTTAAATGAAAAGTATTCAACTATCCATAAACACTCCCCAACTCAAAGAAAATTGTTATCCCTAATATATGAGGAATTGCTCAAAGCCATTATTGGTGAAACTAACACTGTTGTCTATTTTGCAGATTCCCGTAAAAAAAAAAACACTGTTATCTATTTTGGTAGCGGCTAATGATTCCACTGATAACAAAAATCATACTTATGAGCGCCTGCATCGTAAAAACATGGACCACTCTTCTTGATAATCCATTGACAATTGGTGCAACGTCTGTAATCCCTATCAAATATGTAAATGTCAAACCAATGGGTTTGTCCTTCTCCCCAGTCCATCGAGCAGTAGAACAAAGTGGTTCCCCAAATGTTTGGACGAAACTTAAAAATAAAATCGTCAAGTGTCTTCAGCGTATAGACGCCAAGGTCGTCGTCTTTTGATTTGCAATGAATTCTCAATTCTTTACCTCCTTCCACCCTGTTCTCCATCCGTACTATCGTCGAGCGACGAAACCAATTAATAGGATCCCATTTTGCCTCAACAAGACAAGTAGTTAGTGTTGACAATAAGATGAGGACAACTAAAATGACATGATTTTGCGGCATTATCGTTGGTTTCTATGTTTCTTTGATGATCATGAGAGGCATTTAAGGTAGAAGTAGTATTTATAGGTAGTTAAATTAAGTATGGGAGTGAGGTTGTTGTGGTGTGTGTGACATATTCCTACGTAGATAGAATCTACTCCACAAATCTATCAACAAGCTGAGGTTGTTGATTAGGATAAGATAAGTCATGGGTAACAAAAGTTGGTGATTTTTCGAAAAGAATGTTGGGAAATTTGACCATTTCAATCCCGAAGATCTTTTATATTTTTAACTTATTTTGCTTCTAAATGAGATGTCAATAATCCTTAATTAATGTCAACTATGTCGATTGGCGATTCAATCAGTACCCCGTTGATAGGGGTGAAAGCTTGATTCCGAAGATCCACCGACCCGTCCCGTCCCTAAGAGTCGGGACGAGTCAGTTTGTCTACAGGGAGAGATTAGGGATGGGTCATTTGTTGACCCTGTAAGGATCGGGACGGGTAGGGACAACTTAGAGACAGGTCACGTTTTGACCCTGTGACCCTTAGCAACAACAAATATCTCACACCACATTGAACTTTTTTTTAAAGTTTTAAAAGTTTAGGTACTAACTTGTAAAAATAAAAAATTTGGATACCAAAACGCAATTTTACCATCAAAATTTATGGACTTATTTGTAAAAAAAATAAATTTTAGGTACTAAATTGTAAAAAAAATAATTTTGGGTACCAAAACGTACTTTATAAAAAAGTAGTGTGTTGATTAGGATCGGTCCACTAATCCGTCCCGTCCCATCCCAACCCTTAAGGGTCAGACAGGGTCAGGAACGGGACATGGACGAGACATGCAAATTTTCAGCCTACGGCCATTAATCATGTAGATCTATTTTAATGATAATTTAACAAAAAGTTAATGATAAAGACTTGTTTATTTACAATCTACGTTGCGAGGAGGAATAATACCAGATGCATGCTTCATTGGCTCGCGGCCATAAATGCTCACCAAACAAGTTACTCATTGACCAGGTGATGACACAGTGTTATCATGGATCTTTAATTCTTTAGTTGTTTTTAGGGTTAATATCTTATTTTGGTTTGAACCATACTACAACTTTTTATTTTGGCCCGTGGTTTTTGAAATTGCTCACTTGGCTCGAACTATGCACCATACTTTCTTGCTAGACTCGGCGTAGGTTTTGACTATCAAATTGAACGGTCAACTCCATTGACCGTTAGTCAAGCACCATATCACTAGTCACGTCAGTGAACCCGAAATAAAAAGTTTGAAATTTGAATTTCTATAATTATCTTCGATATCCAAAATTTTGAATTATTTTTTCAGTTACTTATTATTTTTTATTAGAAAATGAAACGAATTAAATAAATTCAACATCCAAATTTTTTATTTCGGATTCGATGACGTGGCAAGTGACTAGACGCTTGACTAATGGTCAATGGAGTTGACCGTCCAATTTGACGGTCAAAATCAGCACCAGGCCAAATAAGAAAGTATGGTGCATAGTTTGGGCCAAAAGAGCAATTTCAAAAACCACAGACCAAAGTAGAAAGTTTGGGTATAGTTCGGGCCAAAATAAGGTATTAACACTTCTTTCTATTGTTCATATCTAAATCGTAACTATTTGATCAATGAGCCTTTAATAGACCTAGGATGTGTTTTTGTACTCTTTGATGTCTTCTTGGTATGTTTTGATGGTTTGCAAGGTACAAAGCAACCTAAGAAAACTTGGATCAAGCATTGGACAACTATGAAGGGTCAAAAGAGCTATAAGGAGAAGTAAGTGGAGTTTTCATGATAAAGACAATGTACTATTACGGAGAGGCCTACTTGTAACCACAATGTGAGCCCAACGGAGGAAGACTCAACCCAAGCAGAAGCTGGAACCGACGGCAACTTAGCAATTGGTCCAATCGCCGCCCATGGAGACTTGGTCAAAACGAAATCAAATCTTTAGGAGAGATCGTTCGTGGCAAGGAGCCCAACCCAAGAAGAAAACCAACGCCGGCCCCAACCTCCAAGGAACCGCCGTTCGTGCACTAGCTTATAGAAGCCTTCCTCTGCAAGATACTTTGTCCGCAGGTTGAAGGAGTCTGAGTCCAAGTCATAAAAGGAAGGATGTGGCCGACTTTAGGAGGGAAACCCCCAGTTTATCTCCCCTCTCTTGTTCTATAAATAGGTGTTTAATCTTCAGTTAGCAAATAACTTTTACACTAAAAAAGGGATGAAGCTCTATCGTATTGATGAGAGAATGACTTCATCTTCGATGATTCCTTCTAAATCGCGTAGGGGTGATAATCGGTAAACCGGTATTCGGTATTACTGGATACCGCCGGTATCGGTATTCGATGGCGTGATTTGGCATAACGGTATACCGGATAATAACCGGTAATATATCGACGGCAATCCGGTATACCGGAATACCAAAATAACATATATGAAATTGTTGATTTTGGAATTTGATCTAGGCATTTGGTGTTGTTTGTTTAATTCGTGGGATGTATAATTGGATGATAACAAGATGTTCACGTGATGAAGTGGCATCTAAGGTTTCGTCTAGAGCGAGAAATCAATCTAGACTAGAAGAACTGTATCATAATTTTTAGCGGCTGCTAAGGTTTCTTCAGATAATGGAACTCCCACCAAGTCCAATGCCAGGGGCGGAGCTAGGATTTGACGTTCGGGGGGCCCGAAAATTATTTAATACAATTACCGCATAAGGGTGATAAAAAATTAAAAACTAAGCAAGACAATCAAAGTAAATTTTACTTTTATTAGTATTATGATTAATCATTTTAGATGATTAGAGTCAAAATATTGATGTAGAATAACTTATGAAAGGTCAAAATGAATAATTTTTCAGTGATATAAAATTGCAAAGTGGTAAAAAAACTAAACATGAAATTAAATGAGTCAAGAAATAATATTGAAATAATGAAATGAAGAAACTATAACATGAAACTTGAAAGAGTAATTATGTAGATATATTAAAACAAAAAGCAAATAAAAATTAATAAAATTGTAGAGGTTGAGTATTGAACCCTCAACCAACTGCACCATAACTCACTTCCTCCCCACTTGACTAAGACTATTATGTTTTAACAAATTTGCACACTAAACGTATTAGGTCTTTGTTGATCCTGGTGTATGATCCTAACATTCATCTGGAAAGAGCGGTGTCGATGCACACATGTCGCATAGGGGTGGCTATACGGTTCGGTCCGTTTAAATTGGCCCAAATTGATCTAGTCCAGTCCGGTCTTTTTGAAAATATAAGGACCAAAGATTGGATTGGATACAGTCCGGTCTTGATCCAATCCGGTCTTGACCCAGTCTGATCCCAATTTGGTCTTGATTTTATATTGAGCTTCTGGGGATTTGAGTGGCCTAAGGCCTGAAAGGGTGAGGAGTTGGTTAAGTTTTGTACTAAGGGATCGTTTGGAAGTTGCGATTGTTAGTGTTGTATTTGTTAAATACATGCATTGTCCACAATACAACGTTTGGAAGTGTCAAGTTGCAAAACAATGCATGTATTGTTTTGTGTGGGTCCCACCAACAATCAACAAAAATGAGGGATTGTACAATCTCAACTAAAAGTTGAGATTGTTGTGATGGTTGGTTTAATAATTGAGCACATCTACTTTTTCCAATTATGTCCATAGTTCTTTTTGTTTTATATTAAAAGTGGAGGACAAATATGACATTTCCTTATAAAGTAACTTTATAACAATCAATTCATAAATTATAATCTCAACAACCAAACAATGTAATTTCAAAATGCATCTATTGTATCAATGCATTCATTTTATATCATAGTGATTTATAACAATACAACGATTTAACATACGCAACTTCCAAACGACCCCTAAGTGAAAAGGTTTGTGACCGTTTATATAAATTACCCTTAAGCTTTGGGTGTTGAGCTCTCTTATCCGGTCTTCATCCAGTTTTCGATCCGGTTCCGAACGGTTTTTTACCTCAAATCTAAGCCCAAAGATTGGATTGGATTGTTTACTATCCAGTCCCGATCCGATCTCGATCCGGGTTATACGGTCCGGTTTCAGGTAAAACCAAAAAACCCGGACCAAATAGCCGGCGCAGTTTATATGACCGAAATGCTGCTTTCACCACCTACGGGTTTGCGAAAGCCACCAAACTAGTCCCTGGATTCTGCCTTTCTGTCGGCAAAGTTGTTGTTTCCGCTGATATCTCTAAGTTTGGTTCCGCGCTAAGTATCTTCTCGACTGGAACATCTCCCTTGAATATGCTGTTTCTTGTTATCTCCTGAAACTTGTGGTTGTGTATCTTGTTTGTCGTCTTCACCATCTCATTCTCATAGCTAAGAAAATATCTTCCTCAACTGTTAAACATATCAAGGCAATCAAAAAGAGGGTCATATTAGAGTCGACCGACCAGGGGAGCTGGTCACACAATCTTCGCTTGGGCTATACGATGGGAATGGCCCAATTGTAAGTTGCTTTTCAGTTTAGCGGGCCCATTATTCCACTATCTCCAACCTTAGTTTATCTGGGCCTTAGGAGGAGTGTGCTACTGATCCAGACCACCATTGGGAGAAGGGAAAGGGAGAGCCTCTCTTCAAGACACTGTTAGATTGTACTCTTTAGTTGTATAGGCAATAAGAATTGATTACTGTCCACTGTTGCTCTTCGGTTTATTATCATGGAGTAAGAATTCAGTCTAGTATTTTCTTTATTTCTAAGTAGTTTTCATGGAACTCATTATCCAAAACACGTTGCGTTGTATTTTATTAGGACTGGGTAACTTGATCCTAAAGAAACTCCTACAACTACCATAGCAAGGAACCCGATTCCTAAACAATCTTGATAAATAAGTAGATACGAATAATGTCCAAAATAATACTAAAATCTTCCTAATTAATTATCCGCGCAACATCCATGTCGCGTTGTCGACAGACTACATGCATCTCTTGAGTACCTGGGGTCAGAAGTTTGTCTATAGACTACTTATTGTCCTTGCAGGAC